TCTAGGCTGAACTTACGAGCACATTTATTTATTGATAGGGTAGGGGATAATTGGAATAAGCTACCGTCGGAACTGATTTTGCAATCATGTGTTTAAGCCTTTAAAAAGCTCTGGACGCCAGATGGTTGGAGCTTTTCCCTGACATAGAATGTTAGATGCGTAAATTGCTTTTGCGGAATGCTTCAACAACAAAGGTCTCTCGCCGACACGGCGAGAAGTAAAGTTTCTCTTTCTCTCTGTTTGCAGATAGAAGGAGAAACCGATAAATCTCAGAGGTGGATGCAAACTCGAGGGCATACCACCGAAGTTATTCTGGACGCGTGATTAGCCTGCGGCCACTATCAGTCCTGTGCAACCTGACCTGACCTGACCTGACCACCATCTGCTTCTGAGTGCACAGAACGGGGTTCGTTCTTTGTATGGTTACAGATTCCGCGAAGTTTAGCTGGTAGGGTCGTTTCGGACGGTAGGCAATTCGGAATGCGTTTGTTGGACTGATATGAAGTTTTGTTAGTTTGCACCACCGGACGTATACCCTAATTTCGATTGAAGGTCACTCAACTTCCTGATTCTTGATCGTTTCGTTGCTTTAGAATGCCTTTTGGTGCACCTAAGTGCGACAGTGCCAAGTTGAAATCAAACCTGAAACTATGTAGCAACCGTCTCAATCTTCTCCAAAAAAAGAAAACAGAAATTGGTCTCAAAAATCGCAGGGAAATTGCAGAGTTGATTAAACAAAAGAAAATTGAGCGAAGTAGGATCAAAACGGAGCAAATTGTGCGTGAAGATTACGTCGTTGAGGCCATGGAAATTCTGCAAACGTACTGTGATTTGATAGTCACACGTTTTGGCATATTCGAGGCGAAAAAGTGGGTTCTTCATGTTCTATCTGACAACTTTCCGTCATTAGCGAGGTTGATCCGGCTCTGGAAACGGCCATCGCAACTCTCATTTGGTCCACTCCACGGCTGAATGCTGAAGTCAATGAGCTTGAGCCCATAAAAAAATTATTTTGTGCTAAGTACTCAAAGAGTTACGTTGATTCATGTTTGGAGAACAAAATGCACACAGTCAACCCATCTGTCATTCAAAAGCTGGACGTTATGGCCCCGTCGAAACAACTAGTAGAGCTGTATATGGTGAGTACTGTTCTTAGTGTATACTAGTACCCGTAAACGCTAAATTCTTGATTTTCGAAGTTTACCCCACTTTTGTATATGCTTTTTCCTTTCGCTCATTCCATATATAACTGAATTTCGAGAAGTACTCAGGAAAGAAGTTGTGGTTAAACAATTATCGCTGATTTGCATTTGAGAGTCCATTGACATTGATTTGAGTTCGTGGATGTTGTGCTCCGCCGGTGTTCACTCGATCCTTATACTGTTGCAATTCAATGAGTGTCAGGTAGTTTGGTAGTATCACGGTTAAGAATACTTCAGTCCACAACGTGTTCACCCTTTCCATTGTATACATCTCTGCTAGCAAAATACATTGAAAAATCCACGTAAGATGCCCGAATTACGCGACTGCGTGGGGGTGAAAACCGTTATCCGGATAACCTTAACTTTACAAAATTTCGGATCTTTCTTTTGCTCGATCTCACAAAAACAGCACTTAAAACGCACGACAAAGACTCGGCCACTTAGGTCTTTCACATACGGGTTCACTCCGGACCCGTGTAATTTCATAGCTTGTATTCCCAGGCTATTTGCCGACAGTTAACAAAACAACGAGGAACATACTTATGGAGTGAATGATTGGGAAATTTAGTAAATGAAAAGCTTATCCCCGAGAGTGTACCCACATAGGAAAAAACTCGATTTGGTGGTCGTTTTTCATGCGAAAAATCACTCCACTGTGTTAGCAGGGATATGTCATTCTAGAGCTGCGGCACCTGTCGACAATAAACTGAACCCGAAAACCTGCCGCTTTCTTCAAACGTGTCAAGATATTGGATGAGGAATGTGAGAAGTCAGATTGATAAAACATCCGATCGGCGTGGGTGTAGTAACTGCCGGTTGCATGTTTCAATCGGATTACTCTGGTACATTGCCTTACGTACAACTGGAGTGGGAAAAGGTGAGACTGGTTTGAGCTCCACCACACAACAATAACTAGGATAATACTATCTCTTCTGATAACGATTGCATTCGGCGGAAGTGTAGGACTAGTCCCCGGTATTTAATTTCCGTTACCTTCGGTTGACCGTCACTTGTTGTCACCATCGCTATTCAGATTAAACACTTACAACTTCTGCCAGCTCACGCAGATCGCGCAACAAGAAGGCTTAATCCATACTCTGAAAACGATTTCGTTTGATATTTTCTCTCAGCTACTCGATCGCAGGACTCCATTACCGTTATCCGAAGGGCATTTACACCCGACCCTGAAGCCCGACATCTCTGTCGCCTCTCAAACGATCCCAGCTTCTGGCTAGAAGCGCGTTTTGTGTGACTGAATTGTTGGGCCTTATCCACTTTACTCTTCTGGTTTCCAGTCAATGGCTCTGCGCATTGAGCTTACGAGGTTAATGCTGAGTCATGATCGGGACGTCGAACGTGCCCTACCCTAGTTCGCGGTCAAAGATTTGTCTGCGACGATATTTTCCGCTCGTTTCTGTTAAATATCATCGTTGCGTGAGACCCATGCATTATTATCGCACAGAAGTGAGTAAGGTGGTGGGTTTAACCCCCATAATCCAAAGTAGCAATATACGTGAGATGGTAAAGAAAACGTTCAAACTAGAACCAGTTTGTTGATTCTGCGTTTATAGGTAAGGAGACTGCAAGCTGGAGCGAAGAGCGGAAGGTGGAGTGTTATGATTACACAATTGTGTGATAAACAGCAAACGGTGTAGACCTCATGGTCATGAAGACCTGCTGTTCAGTAATGAAAACCGGTAACTTGAGCTCTTGGACTTGGAGTGGTAATTCACATAAGCACCCGCCAAATCAGGCGTGAAGGGTTCCACAGTTGTGCTGTTCCGCGGTAAAAGGTGATTGGAAGATACAAGCGCGACACCGAGGAATAGCCACCTTTTTGTATACCAGTATGATGACCAATTCACACCATTCAGCTTTGGTTTTCTAGTTGACGAAACTTCTGGGTTCAGCATGAAACACCGATCGAATTTCCATTGAATGGTGTGAATCAGTCATCGTACTGATAAATAAAAAAGGTGATAGATACTCTTGTAAAAAACGCAGAGGAGTTAGTTTAGTCACACTACCTTGCTGGTATCGTATTCCGTTGATTGGGCCGCGCGTGAATGATGTACGCACGAGAATCAGGCAGGTTTTAGACCTAGTCGAAGTTTGATCGACCATATTTTTACCATACACCGAATTTTAGAGCACGCATTCTTTTCCTAAACCCACCATGTTTATCTTAGTCGTTCTAAAACCGGCCTTCGACTCACTCGACCGCTCTAGACTCTGGCGCTGCCTTTCCCTGAATAGTGTGCCCGTTAAGTTTATTTTAACATAACGATCCCTTCATACTAAATACCGAAGCTGAGTCCAAGGTTTGTTTATGAAAACTGCCCTTTCCTCATGCGAAGATAGTGGCATTGAGTTGCCCCCGGGTGATATTGTACTGCTAAGGGAAGATCTAGGTAAGTTGTTAGCTACTCTGAAATTGCTTGAGTGCTAGCATGACCACGCTTACTGGGAAGGTAACAAAACAAGTGTACAAGTTTTGTTATCTGGGCAGCTATATCTCACCCGGTGAATGCACCACGGTTGAAGTCTCGGCTTGCATACAGAAGACTTGATTGGCATTTTCAACTTGATATATCTGTGCCGCTGCCATGAAATCCGACTGACCGTGAAGAATCATGTTTGTCCTGCAGCAGTTCCACTGGTTCTGCTAAACGGTGCAGAAACTTGGCCTTTACCAAACAGGGATAAGAGTAGACTGTTGGTGTTCGAATGGCGCTGTGTACACCGCATTGTACTAGTCCCGGGAAGCAACCAGATAAGCAATGCTGCGGTTAGGCCCAGAGATTTAGGTAACCGCAATCGCCCACTGCGTTGGCTGAGGCGTATGCTGCGCATGTCACCAAATAGGTTGCCACGGCGATTGATGTTCGTCGAGGCAGATAGTGGGTGGAAAAAAGCCAAGGATGGTCAACCTAGGACCTGGCACGAAGGGGTGAAATCTCTAACCAGGGAACTGGATCACATAGGTCCCGTTAGGCCCCCTGGTTGGGGACCTCGGGATGATCGTAACCGATGATTAGAGACACTGAGTGATATGGTTGTCGTAAACAGTGATCTTCGTGCATCTCAATTTCTTTGCACTGAAATTTTCCATCTTATGTTCGACACTATTTTCAATCTTCTTGTCTTCTATTCTTAATCCAAATGGGCAGCCAAGGGACCGCAACCAAAACCGGCGCACGAAAGTGCGTGGTTAATGGTTGTACAAACTGAACTGAACTGAGTATCGTAGACACTGGCATTCGTTCAGCCCCTTTTCTTTGCAACCTTAGCCTACTGAACTTTCCCTCCACTCCACTTTCGACTCCAATCTTTCTTTTAGTCCTTCGTCCAAATGGGTAACCAAAATCAGAGCACCAGTGTATGGTTAACTGTAAAAACTGAATATATATTGTGTCGAAAATACACTTCGTGGCTACGAGTATATGAATGAACAGATAAAATATAATCGGATGCAGATGCCTGACGGGCGGCAAAAGCCGCGAAACCGGTCGTTTACTTCCAGAGAAATTTTGTCCAGGCATTCACATACTACTTATTATGTGATATATATATTTCACACTGGCTTGTGGACAAGCATGGTGTCAAAGCAAAACAGTAATAAAGATGGTATAAAGGGGTAAAAAAAGATTAAATGAAACTGGGAAAACAAAACGGAGAACAAATGAACGAATAAATCTTTTTGATAGTTTCACCGTACACTTTGTAGTGTTTTTTTTTCTTTATGGGGAACGGGGTTTCAACAAACAAATCGCGCGGTAGCCGAGCCACTGACATTTATTCTAAGCCAAATCTCTCAGCGTCTCTAACCATCGGCAATCCTCATCCCTTGGGCCCCAGCCTGGAAATCGAGCTGCACCAACCATCACGACGAGACTGCACCTTGACGTGGCGTGATGGCTTGTGCACCTCTGTGACCCAACGAGCTACACAGGATGGCTTTTACCGAGCCAAAGATCTAATCATGCCTGGAAGTTCAATGGGTAGAGGTCAGACGAATTCCAGTCTCCTGGTCCTCCAGGTTGGGGGTTCGACTTGAGTCGGCGTCTCAGTCGATAAAACGTGTTGGAGGAATAATTGATCCAAGTAAATGGGCCTCCATCTCGCTTCACCCGCTGCCTTGCGGTTAGATTTTTGTCAGAACTAAAAGCTTTGGTTGAGAACCCTAATCGTTCTCCTGTTTAGTGGCTAGACACCTTGGCAGTACCCGTCCATAAAGCTCCAATGAACACACAAACTAAAAATAATTTCATATTGCATCGGTCGTCGCGCAGGATAATGGACCGCGCTGCCCATTGCATCGAGCGGGGTGAGTAGTAATAAGTGGGCTACTGCTCAGATATCCCAACCTTTGTTTACCTCTTTGTCCTCCGTACCCAATCCCATCCCTTTACCCTTTCTTCCGACCCGTGATATTCCCTCAGACAACTCGTCAAAGGTCTTTGCCAAATAGCACTATAACTAGTTTTCCTGTAAATAAAGTACAGATTCTGAAGCCTCGTCAACCTCTCAATCTGGGGGCTTTCAACGTGAAAACTCTTATGCAGGTGGGTCAACAGACGTGTCTTGCGCGTACAATGGAATCTCTAGAAATTGATGTCTGTTGCGTCTCGGAGACACGAATTCAGGATCTTAATATTATAAGCCACCTGAGTGCTCCGGGTCTGTCCTCGAGTTATTACCTTCGCGACGACGAAACCCACTCACTGAGTCAGTGTAGTGTAGGGATCGTACTAAACGATAAAGCTGAAGCCTCTATGATAGATTGGATACCCGTCAATAGT